AAGCCTAAAAAATAAAAATGGTAAATTTGTTCCTGTGCTTAACTAATTAAGCACCACGTCATGAAGGCGTATGGGGGAGTGGATGTATAGATCCACATTTTCCTGACCTCGGCACTAGTTGGAGTTGAGTAGTCAGCTTCACTCCCCGGCCGCTTCCCCCCGGGAAAGAGCTCCCGGTACCCATCGGAGAGGAGGTTGGGTGGGCCCCAGAGCCGTTCTGGGCGACATAGAGAAGAGAAAATTCTTGACCTTCCCAGGACTCGATACTCCGACCCCTGAGTCGTCTAGCCCGTAGCCAGTAGCCGTACCGACTGAGGTATCCCGGTTCCTTAATATACGCCCCCCCCAAAAAAACAAACAAACTCCGTGGCTCGAGTCCGCAAGTGAACTATACCGACCGAGCGACCGCCGCTTGTCGGCGAAGTTAGTGCCAACTTTAGCGGATAGAGGATGTCGCATGGTCAGCGCAATGAATTCCAACGGTCTTTAATTTCGGTTTTCTAGACCAGAGCCGTTATTTCCTTGAAACAGCTCTTCAATTATACTCACGAGGCTGAGTGGACCCCGTTCCAGACCCACTTACTTACTTACTTACTTACTTACTTACTCATGGAGCTGAGCCCTCTTGAGGAGCCGCCAATTCTGCAGCTACTCAAGAATTTCTCACCTTTTTATGGAACCCGAAGGTTCATCACCGTGTTCACAAGAGCCCTCCACTGGTCCCTATCCTGAACCAGAGCTATCCAATCCACACCATCCCATCCTATCTTTCTAAGATCCATTCTAATATTGTCCACCCACCTACGCCCTGGTCTTCCCTGTGGTCTTCTTCCTTCTGGCTTTCCCACCAATATCATATATGAATTCCTCGTCTCCCCCATTCGTACTACATGACCTACCCACCGCATCCTCCTTGACTTGATCATTCTAATTATACTTGGAGAAGAGTACAAGGTATGAAGCTCCTCATTATGCAGTTTTCTCCAACCTTTTGTCACTTCATCTCTCTTTGGACAAATATTCTCCTCAGCACCCTGTTCTCAAACAACCTCAGTCTATGTTCCTCCCTTAATGTCAGAGACCAAGTTTCACACCCATACATAACCACAGGCAAAATTATAGTTTTGTATATTCTAATTTTTATGTTT